CTACAGAATATGATGAAAAAACATTTAAAAATTAGAATATATTTTAAAAATAGGCATAAAGAATTATATAATTCTTATGTTTACACATAAGTTCAATAATCTAACCATATCCAACCTTGAAGCAGGACAGTCCCACAACATTCCTTTTCCTATCTCTTGCCTTCCATATCTTTTGCTTTGATACCTAATTGCATGTAAAATTCATAAGGCTTCCATCCTTCAATTGTTTCTCTCTTTATAGGGTGGTTCCCACTGCCAGAGGGTTCCTGCCTACAGTTTCTTAGGAGGAGTCTTATCAGGATGTAGGAAAGCTAATAGTCACTAAATCTCATGATACCTTTCAATATTTTTAATGCACTCATCCTACCATTTATTCTTGCTTTTGGCCACTTTCCTCATCTTATTAGGTTAATTCTATCTTATTTCCATTTTTATTCGTCATACTCAATTCTAGGAGCTCATGCTTAAAATCGTGCAGGATCCCCTTTTGCTTCTCACACTGTGTGTATGGTATTTCTCTGGGACTTACAGAATCACAAATTTCACAAAAGATGAGAAAATATATCATAAATGCACTGAATTCACTTGCATTTCATCATTTCTTTTTTCAGTGTCTCAAGGTTCTACTATTTTCTTTTTCCTTTCCAGTGAGACATGGTCTGTCACTTTCCATGGCTGACAGAAAAGTTTTGTTCATGTTGGCTTCTTGCATAAACTTGAGAAAGGATTGTTAATTGCCAGTCTTGGGTAATTAGGAAGGAAAAGATTTCAAAGTCATTATCAATTCCCTGAGAAGACACTGTTCATTCTGCACCAGTTGACTGGATAATCTCGGCTCTGGAGGGAAATGAGCTTAAACAACTTCAAATTATCTCTCAAGATTTTACTGTATCCCCATAACTCATCCTCTGTGTTCCTTTTTGTCTACCCTCCTGTCAAAAGTCAACAGGTACTTTATTATATATTTATCTCATCAAACAATTTCAAAAGGAAAGACCTCATTATGTGACTGATGTGATGAAAGTGATTCTTCTACACCAACATGGCCCTCTGACATCAGCTCAACACCAAGAGGAAGGACATTTTCCACAACAGAGGGCAACTTATGAAGTGTCAGGTAAGAAAGGACACGTCTATCTGTGATCTCTCCTTCTCCTTCTCCTTCTCCTTGTCATTCATGGACTATCAAAGGATTTCACGTGGTAGTGAGAGATATGCAATGCAGACCTGAGCTATGAGTGCCTTACAAGGTCCTGTAGTTGCACAGAACTACAGGCTTTATTGCAGGAAGGAGAGGAGTCACACATGGCTATCCTCAGCGACAGACTGTGCAGCCACGGAGTATGGGAAATAATATGGTTGGAGCGTGAACATTTATCACTCTGACAGTGACTATGGAATGTGACTAGCGGATAATGATTCTCTCTGCATGGGCATGCTCAGTCCTAGTACGGTCTCTGCTAGCCTCAAGGGGAGAAGATTTCCTGAGAGCAGGCTACAGGAAGCAACACCTTGGTGTCGTTAGCAGGGATATGATTCAAGCACATTCTGCAGTGAAAGTATGTCTTAGTGATTGTTTTCTAGTCCACTTCTGTACTCTATTAAAACTGTGCTCCTTAATTTTCCAAACTCACAGGTCTCTGTGACTTCCAGGATACCATTTCATGCTGTGTGGTGAATTGCTACCTTTTGAGTATGTGTTTGTGTGTATGTTTGCTTCCATTACCTCTAAATGTGCTTAGAGGTACTGATATAAATTACAATCAGCAAAAAAGGCTAGAAGAACATGCAAGGCTGCAGAGGCACAACACAATATTTTGTAAAATGATTAATGCTTAAATTGATATAAATTGCGTTATGTTAAGGGAACGCTTGAAAAGTTGGGGTCTGAAACATCCTCACTGAAATTTACACCGTAAGATTTCATTATTTCTGTCTAGAGTTAAACAAATTGTCACAAGTCTTGGTAACTTCTAACACTAGTTTGTTTAGCACAACCACAATTAACTTTCATATGGCTGTATAATCAGAAAAATGGGTTTATTTTAACATTCTCAGTATCTTCACCTCTTTCTAGAGAAACAAACTTTCCATCTCAATGGTGGAGGATCTCCAAAATATATTCCCTATACTGGGCACAGGTATGTTGTCAACTCTCTCTTGGAGGACTCTGAATTTTGTTACCAGACAATATGTCTTCCAGAAGTATAAAATTTAAGCACATAAGTTGCGTGCAGTATTGACAAAAGGTAAGATATAATCCTTCTGGTCAACATTTTGTTATTTTTAAATTAGTTTCAATCTTATTTCACAGTTCAAATTTACTGATCTTTTATGACATTTAAATGTAGCAATTCAGAAAAGGTGGCACAGCCTGTAAGACTTTAACTGACATTAGACTCTCCTTGCGTAACCCTTGAGATCTTTGCAGACTTGGTCCTATCAAGCCGTCAAGTGTTCTCTCCACAGACAGCATTTATTTACAGTCTATCCTTGTTGCAGCATGTGTGTTTCTTATTACTCATGCTATCATTTTACAAATCTAGGAATCTTTTACAATAACTATGCTTAGCACATCTTTTATTATTTGATATTGTTATATAACAGATATTCTCATAGATGATTTAAATGTCATTAATTCAAATAAATGTAAATAGAAGGCAAATGATTAATATACAAAATATCATTCAATATTTAATACTTAAATTCTGTGAAGGTTTTTCTATTTTACTTTCTATGCCATAACAGTTTTGACCAGGTTCAGGCTTTCTAATAACTGCTGTAAAGTTTTTGTATATTTGCTCCAAATTAAATAAGACTGACTGAAAATTCATCTCACTCATATGGAACTGAATTTACATTAAATTCCAAAATTTCCTTATGAAAACTATTGCTATTTTTAATTATAAAGCTGGTTGTCCATGTAGTAACACACATTCATAACTTCACACAAATGCACACTAACAATGACTTAGTCACCTAAGAATATTTGAGTAAAAAACTGGAGAAGTATATTTTAATAAAAGCAGAACAAAATGTTGTATTGTACAAGCATAACATAAACACAGATAAGGCATTAAAAACTGCAACTACCAAAAAATCATACACTGTTGTAGTTCAATCTTGAAAAAAAATACAAGGAATAAAATTTTGAGGGAAAAATGCAGGAGTGGAAATAGTAGTAGTAACTAATGAACTTAAAATTGTTTGAGGAAACACACCTGGACTTCTCCTACCAAATTTTGTTGACTCTGAATGAAATTATTTTCCTCATAACAGAATGTCACCCCATGGCCTGGCAATCAGAATCATCTTTGTTGCTCAGACTACAATTGGAATCCTGGGAAATATTTTGCTCCTTTATTGTTACATCTTCATTTCCCTACCTGAACGAAGGCTAAAACAAATGGATCTGATTATCAAAAATTTAATTTTGGCCAACTGTTTGGTTCTTCTCTCCAGAGGAATTCCTCACACAATGGTAGTCTTGGGGCTGCAATATTCTATGGGGGATATTGGGTGCAAATTGGTCTTCTATCTTCATAGGGTGGCCCGGGGTGTGACTCTCAGTACTACCTGTATCTTGAGTGGCTGCCAGGCCATCACAGTTGGCCCTAGCCATCACAGCTGGGTGAAAGTCAAGGCCAAAGACCCCAAGTACATGGCATTTTCCATTACATTCTGCTGGATTCTTCACATGCTGGTAAACAGCAGTGTCCCTGTGTACATTACAGGTGCCAGGAGAAGCAGCAACAGCACACTCTATAAACACTATGGGTATTGTTCCAGTATAGTTATTGAAAGAATGGAAAACTTACTGTACTCTGTGATCATGTCTTCCATTGATGTGCTGTCTTTGGGGTTAATGGTGTCGGCCAGCATCGTCATGATGCTCATTTTGTACAGACATAAGCAGAGTGTCCTACACATTCACAGCAAGAACCTCTCTTCTAAGCTCTCTCCTGAGACCAGAGCCACCCAGTCCGTCTTCGTTCTGCTAATTACGTTTTTCTCTCTATACATCCTGTCTTCATTCTTTACCTCTTATCTGTTTTACTTTGATCGACCCAGTCCGTGGCTGGTGGACATCAGTGCACTTTTAGCTGCCAGCTTCTCCTGTTATTGTCCATTTGTGATTATCAGCAGGGACCCACATTTCTCCAGGCTGTTTTGTATGCTGCTCAAAAATGAACAATTTCTGTGAGATGACCATGGATTATAAGTGTCATCTCCTTCATTATTTTCTTGTGGCTAAGACAAAATACTCAGTGTACCAAATAAAAAATAGGGAAGATATGTATAGCTTAAAGGTTTTAGAGGTTTTGGTTGGATGCAAAGCAGAGTGACATGGCATGGGTGCCCTCGATATGAGAAACAGACCACAGCAAAGCTTGGCAAGCTTGGCACACAGAATACAGCAAACAGTATGCAACAAATGACAAACAACAAGCAACACTGCTGAGGGTTCGAAGTCTTCAGCTGGAACTCGCTGGGCATTGCCACGGGATCCAGGCCCTCAGCTGATATGAGTCTTTCACGCATAGATAGATCTCTTGTCTTCTGAATTTGCAAATGTAATACAAATAATCCTTTTAATAATAATCCTCTCTGACATTTAAAATTTATTCAGGCTCCCCACCTTTAGGGTAGGTAGCACCCACCCCATGGTGCTACACCACACCTTGAATTACTCCCAGCATCGCATCCTTGGTCCCAGCAGCTCACACTCTCCATCAAGGCACCTCCGAAGAGCGCCCCGGAGGCCTTTGGATGGATCTGCAGATACAAGGCACAGTCGCCATAATGTGTGTTTCTGAAGACTCTGTTTCTAGAGGTTTCTGTTTCCCTCGGTATGTTACATTGGTAACTATCGATCCAGGCATATTGTAGTCTCAATCAGGTGAATAAAAGATCAATTTTGTAAATTCTTTCTAGCTTCCCAAAGAGATATACATTAAAAAAGGCTTCCTTTTCCCTGCTTGTGGTGTATACTTCTACCATGGAACAGACCAGAACTTGGGGTTTTCCACATGGTTTTATACTCATATATTCCTATACAATCCTACTTTACAACTTTCCTATTTGTAAGCATGTCCACTTTTAAATCTTTATTTGACATACAAAGGTTTTAAAGTCCACCTGACAGTTGCACTCAGTCAGTGTGCTGCATTAACTATTGGCCAAGTTGCAATGCCCAAGTGAATTGAATCAGTGCAGTTCTGGTTGTGGGAGGCCTGCCTGAGGACTGTTGCTGACAGCACAAATGAAGAACTGGAGTGACTATCGAGTGCTGCTCACCTTCCTGGAGGAGCCCATCACAGCTGGTTGCCTGATGTAAGCTCAGCTGTTCTCATCTTAGGAGGACTGTATATTTTCACTGAGGGTGCTAGTGTTTCTATATAGTCACTGAGGGTGCTAGTGTTTCTCTTTTGGAATACTCTGGTCTTTGCCTAGAGTATTATTTCCTGGCTCCAGTGCAGATGTCTCAGCCTGGTGGCACAGAATGTTCACCCCTCAGACACAGGCCTTCTCCCATCTACCACTGACTTTTGGGACTCCCTAGTGCAGTTGTTAATATACAATTTCATGAGGTTTTAGGGTGTGGTCCAGGCCTCCAGATGGATTCATGGAGGACACTTCTGAGGGTTCTAATTCTTCAGCTGGAAACACACAGGACATTGCCATGGGATCCAGGCATGAAGCTGGTATCTTTGAATGTTTCATGTGTGAATATGTCCCTTGCAGATTTCTAAATTTTTTTGGCTTTCTTTTTTAAAAATTTATTTATTTTTATTGAGAGATAAATATTAATGAGACAGTTTCATGGCTGATTAATAGGACAGTTTTGATAATCAATACACTGTACATTGGTATCTTCTTAGTGGTTATCCATAGTACAAGAAGCAGACGGGGCTGGTGAGATGGCTCAGTGGTCTAAAGCACCTACTTAGAACAAGCTAAGCTAAGCAAAGCACAGGGACCGCGGTTCAATCCCCCAGCAC